GTTTTCCCGAGAAATTTTGGTGTAGTCGATTTTTGGTAAAAGGGAAGGTTATACACTGCCTTTTTTTGAGTACCGAAAAAAAAATTGTCTCAGATCGACCCGAAAAAAAAATGTCTTATAGAATGTGGCCTGTAGAATCCGTAATTTCAAACAGTTCCAAGATTGGGTTACTAGTTCAAAAGTTACAGCCCTTTGAATTTTCCTTCGAAATTGGTTTCTAGTCCATAACCTTTGATTGAGAGGTCTAATCGAAAAAGTACGAATCGTTTTGGATTATACGCACCAAAATTAATAAGAAAAATTGTTTTCCCGAGAAATTTTGGAGTAGTCATTTTTTTGTAAAAAAAGAAGGTTAAGTATTCAAATACTATGCGAAGTATTCGAATACTTTATATTACGAATACTAAATATTTGTGAAAGTATTTGAGTTACAAATACAAATACTGCTTCCATAAAAGTATTTAATTACAAAGTATAAATCCTAAAAAGTATTTACAAAATTGAATACTGCCCAGCTCTGAACCCAACATACAATCTTTACGCTAAAACACTAAAGAACCGCTTAAATGAAGAAGTAGAGGACAAAGAAATACTACATGAAACACAAATGGGCTTTGGGAAGGGAAAGGGGGCGATAGACAAATATACATAATAAATCACGCAGTACAACAAGAACTGAAAGAGAAAGAAAGGTAAAGTCTACGCCCGATTCATAAATCTAAAAGCAGCATTCGATAATCTACACAGGAACAAATTATATCAGAGCTTGGAAAAGAAAAATATCGACAGCAACACATTAGAAAGGATGAAAGAAATCCATAGAGAAACAAAGAGTAAAGGTAAAGTCAATAACAAACACACAGACTATTTCTGGACGGAAAATGGAGTCAGGCAAGGATGTCCGCTAAGTGCAACCCTTTTCAACGTTTATGTGGCAGACCTGGAAGGAGCATTAAGAAAATGGCAATCAGGAAGAATAAAATTGGAGGACAAAAGATATGGTCATTAACATACGCGGACGACATGGTACTCCTTGCAACGAAGCAATGAAGGAAATGATCACACAGTTAGAAAGGTAAGCAAGAAGAACGAAATTCATAATAAACACAGAAAAATCAAAAATAATGGTATTTACAAAAGAAAGAAGAATAAACGAGACATCGTGGAAAATCGGAGCAAAAGAAATAGAAGAAGTTTCAGAATTTAAATACCTTGGGTACACACTAATGAAAAACGGAGGACCAAGTGCTCACATAAGAAAAATAAAGAAAAAAGCAAATAGATTAATGCCGTAGATATGGAGCATAGCAGAAAGAAAATTCAAAAACAACTATAGAATCAAGAAAATGATGTTCGACTACCTGATCAAAATCACAGTGATGTACGGGGCAGAAATATGGGGGTGGAAGGAGATAGAGGACATCAAGCGGATACAGAACAAATACCTGAAATGGATCCTAGGATTGGCAAGAGATGAACTTACATACTTCTGGAGGAAACCAAACAAGATAAGGTGAGGATAGAAGCGGGATATAGAGCAGTTAAATACGAAGAAAGGATAGAAAGCGGAGAAAACGGATTACTAAAAGAAACTCTCAAGGATGGAAGAAAGAAGAAGATATTTCCAAAGGAATGGGTATGCAGAAGATAAAGCGGAAAGATTAAGGAGAGAGGGAGTAAATATATAGTATTACAGTACCAAATCAATCAAATAGAAAACAGCACCTACAATATCACGTACAAAGATATAAAAACATTACACTTGCCAAAATATCTACAGAACAACAAAAATATAAAACCCATTGCAAGATTTAGATGCGGAAATGAAAACAGGACCGGGAAAAGATGGAAGGAAGAAAAGTGCAGACTATGTAAGGAAGAAACAGAGACGATAGAACACGTGATATACAAATGCAGCAAAACCAAGACGAGCAAAACAGTAAAGGAAGTATTACAGGAAGATGGAAGAGGAATCGACTGGATGAGAAAAACGTTGCAGGGTTAATAAATTGAATTTTAATTGTAAGCGTGTTAGAAAATTAAAAAAATATATAAGATACGCGTCCAGGAGAGATAGCGATGGGGCATTCGGTTTTGAGATTTAATTTAATTTAATAATAAGTTTTTTTTAAGCGTGAAGCTCTCTCTCTCTCCGTCTATAATCGAAGGGTTGTAAATAAGCGAATTAAAAAAAACCCTTGAAAAGAGTAAGTAATACCTAAAAATCTTATTGTACAATTGTCAAATCGTGGATATGCTACACGTACAACTAATTACAATAAAAAAGCATGTCCCTAATTCTGCTTATTTCGTACATTCTGGCACCTAAGAACGTAACAAATGTGGTATAATTAAAAGGCATTCTGAAGATGCAGACAGATATTTTGCTTCTTTTATTGGCACGTTGCCAAATTGGCATTGTACGCAAAATTTAGGTTGCAAAATCCAAACGAATGTTTTTCCATGTTGTAGAAGGAACCCCGAAAATTAGACCTTTAACGAAGAGGTGTCGGGCGTAATGGAAATTAAAAATTTGCGCGCGATAAATCACGGAACGCTTTAAATGCAGATGGATTTTCGATGGGAAAGACAATGAAAAAAATGATATATAGTGCCCAATTAGCATAAAAACAGCGGCATGGTTCGTGTGTTTTTGTTTGTTCGTTCGATTTAAATAAGTGTACGCTGGCCACCCCTTCAATTTCGAGAGTATCGCGCGATTCAACAATAAAGAATTGAAGACGGATGGCCCGTGTGAAGGCATTTTTCACGCAAGTAAGCAAAACCAGTTCGTTCTTTGAAAGCTTCCATTTGGTTCATTCATATTTTAAAAACCCCCTCACGTCATTCCG